GGCCATCCGGGATTAAGGTCAATGACGTTGAAAAATAGGAATCAGGAAGATTCCGCCATTGCTGTGATCTTTGAGTCTCCCAGAAAACGGGTTAGCGTCTCTTGGTGTGAAGATGTAGACCCTGAGCATGGTGGATCTGGCTTTGGTCGCTTTGTGTTTCTGCTGTACAGTTGACTTTCTTTGAAAACATATGCACCTTTATTGTGCCTCAGATTGTGAAAGCAGGAATGAATTAATCACTTTCACTTTGGTTTTAGTTTTGGTTTTCATTTTTATATTGTGACTTTGAATCCAGGATGGAAAAGATGGAAGTGTTCTGTAAATGCAACTCTTAACATTTTCTTCTTCCTACACACACACACACACACACACACACACACACACACACTACAAGAGTATGTAAAAAACGGATGTCTGTAAAAGTCATAGACAACTTTATTAAACAAAAACAGTGAAGCTGTTGTTTCTCGACAGACCCTCCATCTAGACGCATATACTTTTGAAGGCGATGCTTCCGTCTTTCTAACCTTTTCCGGAAGAATTCTGCGCTTTTGACTTACACTGTGTCGAAATTGCCATTTTGGCATCTTTAAGAGACTCAAATAGTATTCTTTTGAAATGTTCTTGGAGTTTGGGGAACAAAACAATTCTGAAGCATCAAGAGCAGGGCAGGGTAGTTGGGGTAAGGTTTCCCCAGAAAGTTTCCTAGGACAGCTCTTGTTATCCTAAAACTGAGCAGGGACATTGTCGGATAGAAACAACATTCCTGAGTGCCACTTCCTGGCCTGCTACTGACCGATGCAGCTGTCCATTTCCCTCTACACAGGCCCCTATGATGGTTTTGTGTCCTTTGAGAAAAATCTATCAAGATGACTCCTTTGGGGTCCCAAAAAACATTTGCCATAAACTTCTGAGAACTAGTGGTCTGGCCCAGCAGAGCCCCTTGGAAGCTACTGTTTTGGTTGGACCTAGCTCTCTGGTTTATTTTGTTAAATGTTATGTTCCCCAGTTATGATTCATTCCATAAAATCTTCACTAGTTTCAATCTTGTTTGCATAACAGATTGGTGGGAAGATCTGCTCTTTGAACCCACTGATCTTTCTCCAACACCTTGGACGCCCATTGAGCCGAAAGCTTCCTGAGGGCAAGATGTTCCCTTAAAACTGAAAATGCTGGTCCATGTGAGATCCCAGCTTTAGTAGCTGTCGTATCAGTGGTAGTTCTGTGGCCTTCTCCCACCAGTGTCTGAATGTCAGCCACAGTTCTTTCTTCGTCGAGGTCTTCCCAACGTTGCTTAAAATGCTCGATCCATCTAAAAAAGATTCTTCCATGTGGGGCAGCATTCTCATAAACTTGTTGCAAAACTTCATTGATTTGAGAAGTTGTCCAGTTGGGTTTTGTGAAAAACTTGGTATTATTCCTGAACTCACCCTCCTCCCCGTAGAACAAAAAGTACCTCTTTTTTTTTTAAGGCATCCTAAAGTGACCAAGACAAGTGAAGGACCGAAAGAACTTGTCTCCGGCCATCCGCTGATCTCAGAGACAGTTTAAGCACTTTTGTTTGAAATGTTGTTGTTGTTTTAAGTGCCTTCGAGTTAATTCCGACCCATAGCGACCCCCTAAACCCATGTCTTTATAAACTGGAAGGAGCCATGGTGGAGCAGTGAGTTAAATGTTGGACTGCTAACCACAAGATCAGCACTTCAAACCCACTAGACAGCTCCTGTCTGATCCCATAAAGTTTTACGGTCTCAGAAACCCCCAGGTGCAATTCTTCTCTGCCCCGTAGTCAACTATGAGTTGTACTTGGCTTGATGGCATTAGGTTTCGTGTGAACTGGAGCCCCAGTATCAATACTTTTTTATTTAGCCTGGTTTGTGTAACTGCAAGGAAAAATGACACTAACCATTCCTCCAGAACCCTCTCTACCCAACTAGCTTCAATGATTCACCGCGATGGCCACACAGAACTTAGCTACACTGCTCACAGTGACAGGCTTTCTTAGGGAAATTAACAGGTTACAATGCAGGCTCAGAAAATGCTCAGGGCACTTCTGCCAGTTAAAACAGCCTCCTCTCAGCTGTATCCACAGATGGGCCTCTGCCTGGGCAGCAAAACTCTTAGGGCTGCTGAGAAGTGCTCAGTGGCACCCCAAAGTCACTCAGCTTTACTTGCTCCCTGGACTGGGAGGCCCCCGCTCTGTCTGGTGCTCTGGCTCTGGGCTCTGCTGCTCCTCCGTTGCCACAGCTTTCTGTCCCTGGGCCGAGGGATTTCATTGCTCAGGGATCTTGGGGTCCAGAAGACATGCTCCACGCCTGGCCCTTCTTACTTACTAGTAGTGAAAATTCTCCCCTCCTGCTTCTGAGATGGCTCATTTTAAACTCACATTAGAGTTCCAGGTTTTCACAATCTCACTCTGTTAACAGTCACAACTGAATCGTATCATCCTGTCAACATCTTTCCCAGCCTTTTGCCCAGACCTAGCAGGGCAAAAACAGCGTCTGCTGGGAGTTACAAAGACTACGGGTCGAAGAGCCACATAAAGGAGTTCACTGCACTGCAGTAAATCACTTGCCCTTTCAACAGTCTTCTCACGTGCAGTTATGTTTATCGTGTTGTGCATCCATCTCCACTACCCATTTCCACAGTTTTTCAGAACTCAGTGCCTCCTACCCACCTCCTGATTTTAAAATTATTTTGAGTTTTGCAGTACATCAATGTTTAAGTGATGAGACGTATACCTGAACTCATAGCAGACCCAAAGAGAAAGCTCAACTCATTTTTCTCTCCTTTTGCTCTAACAGCAAGTTTGTGGAGTCCTGGTGTGGCACTGTGGGTTAGTGTGCTAGACTGCAACGCAATGTCGGTAACTGCAAGGTCAGCAGTTCAAACTCACCAGCTGCTCCTCAGAAACCCTATTCAGGGTCGCTATGAGTCAGAATCGACTCGACGGCACTTAACAACAACAATAAGTGTATACACCCTCTCCTCACTTAAGACCTGGTTAGGTTCCAAAGACCTGGCTGCTGTGCAAAATCGGCCTTGTGTCTGACCTCTGCCCTCTGCCACACAGCATGAGTTCGGAAATGGCTGATTGAAGCTGAAATCGCTCTCCTTGTTGGAATTACATCTTCACCCTGGCTTATCACTTATCACAGTGGCTTGTGATTTCTCAGACCAGCGACATGCTGCTTGTTGGTGATGTTCTGACTTCCAGCAAAAGATACCAGAGGTCGAGAGCCACTGTTCAGAGACACTGTGAGCTCCGGAGAGGTGGGGGTTACCCGATTCAGATGGCAGGTCATAGCACCATAGTCCATGTTGTTGTTAAGTGCCATCAAGTCAGGTTCTGACTCATAGTGATTCTGTATAGCATTTCCAAGGAGCACCTGGTAAGTTTGAACCACCGACCTTGCAGTCCAGTGCTTATTCTAGAGCGCCACACCAGAACAGTCAGTCCATGGCAGCGAGAAAAACTGCAGCTTTCCCTTAATAATCAGTCAGGAGTGCTGTCTGATTTTGTCATAGGCAAAATTTCTCCCACAGTGTAGACTCTGGGGAAAAACAGACCTCTGTTTTTCAAGTGAAGTGTTCTGTCAGGACATGTGAAATTACGGAAACAAGAAGTATTCATAGTATACTATTTTGCTGCTTGTCTCTTTTCCACAGATTTCCAGCCCCCTCTGCTGGAACTTGTCTTCTGTGGCTAGGAAATGAAACAGACTGAGACAGAGGTCCGATTGGTTTGTTAAACACTGCAAACACTAGAGAAGCACCACCAGCAACAAGTACATAAGACTGGACATTTAGGCCAGCTGCAGTCCTGAGCTTGGCTCGATTCTGCCACTTCGTCAAGTATGCATTATTATCCTCCTGGTTTTTCTTTAATGTTTAATCAGATTATGTACCTGAACTGTCACGTGGTTTTCTGACATTTTTTTTTTCACCACATCCCATAGAAAGATCTCATCATGTACATACACAAACATAAGTCACACACAGCTTTCTTCCAAGAACAGTGATGCTTATTATGGATAATGAAGTCATATTTTCTATTTATTTTTTTGTGGGGGAGTGAGATTTGGCCAACTACACTGATTGCAGTATTCACTATGGGTTGTTTGGAAAAAAACACCATCGTGCCAAACACTTACCAAACGTATCGTGTACAAATACACATACGCACACAGCATGAATGTGTGCAGAACAGACAGTTCTAAGTGTGTGGACCAAAGCACTAGCCAGGCCTGGACCCATTCTCAGGGTTTCACATGAACTACAGTAAAATACTGTCACTGCTTTATAGATATCGTGGATAAGGCTAGTGAGAACTCATCCAGTCATCTCAAATAACAATGTCACTTCGAAAAAGTGATTCTATTTTAGTTTTGAGGGGGCTTTAACATGTTCTTTTAATAAAACAAGGCTTTAAAATGTTCAACTCATAAATAGGAAAAATTATTTCAATACCAAAAAAAATAAAAAACCTTCTTCGTAGGAACTCAGAGTTGGAAAGCCTTTAATTACCAACTCCTCCAGGTGCCCGTGTGATGGATATATCCACTCCATCTTTTGTTTGCTGCACACTGGAAATGCTGCAAATTGGCAGTGACTTTCAAGTAGCCCATGAAGAGTTTTGTTTTTGTTTTTTTGAGGGGAGCTAGGAGTCCTGGTGTGGCACTGGGTGTAGACTCAGCATTGGATTTCTAACTGCAAGCTTCAAACCCACCAGCCACTCCTCAGAAACACTATACGGGACCCTGAGATAGAACCAACTCACTTACGCAACAGCACTTCACAACAACCAGAAGCAACAGCAACACCTTTAATCCATTGAGCGGAAATCCATCTTTCTGTTCCCTCTGACTGTGTCCTTTGTAGCGGCCTTGTAGGTGTTCGAAGAAAGTGCGCTCTTCAAGCGCTGGCTTTGCAGAGAAACTCGCACCCTAGGAAGGCACTGCAGCCCTGGGTAACCCACGCTGTGATGCTCTCGTTGCAACAGGGCCTGATGCACTGCACAGCATTCGCCACAGCAGATGAGTACCATCTCGGGAATCTCTGCCAAGAACTCACTGCCCGGGGATATGTTGAAGTCACAAGTTTGCCGAGAGGTACATCTTCTTGAACCCTGGGGTCAGGTCGGTTAGAGTGTGCTAGAGAGCCGTCTTTCTGTGATACTGCCACATATGCATGTGTTTGCATTTTCTTTTCCACTGTAAGAATCGTATTGTATGAGTTTCATTGAATCGTCTTATATAAATGACACATAAAGATAAGAATGTGAAAACGCAGTTGTCATCGAGTAAAATCAGTATGGTGTGTTTAAAGTTGTATGTCTAAGATTACCACCACCTGGGACAGTCAGAAGACCAGCCCATTCCATTCTGCCACATTAAAGAGTTGAGTATTTCGGAAGAACCATGGAATTGATTAAAAATGTTCAGTTGTTGTTAGTCGCTGTCGAGTTGGCTCCGACTCACGACGACCCCGTGCCCAACAGGACAGGCTGTCTGTCGCCTAGTTTCTTGTCTCCCTCGTCTCCATTGCTGTGTTTGGACGATGGTGGTGACTGTTGTGCCAGTCTATCTTACCGAGGGTCTCCCTCATGTCAGTGACGCTTTCCTTTACCAAAAACGATGTCCTTTCGGATTGATCTTTCCTGCTTACGCATGCCAAGTACGCAAAGTGAAGTCTTGCCATCCTCATTTCTAAGGCGCATTCTGGTTGTTTTTTTTTTAAGGATTTACTCTCACAATCCTACTACTAAACTATTAGTTGAAATAGCCACGAAAAGAAGAAAATTAAAACTCAGTTGAGGATTTTAGGATTGTCTCATGAAAACAACCTGCTTTTACCCTAGAAAAAAAGTAACACAAGGGGGCTTCAAAGAGTTCATGGGAAGATTCCTTTATCTTTCTGTTCCATTTTTCCACAAAATTTCTGAAGCCCCCTCGTATAGAACACTTGGATGGAAGAAAATTTTACAGTGTAACTCTAGAATAACCGGCTTGCCCAATACCCAGAGCATTTAGGAATTTACCTGAAAGGCCCTGCCTGGACCCCAGAGACACAGTGGAAATGCCCTTGTGCATTTGCAGTTGTGCTGTTGGGAACAGATGGTGGTTGTTTGCTGGCGTAGTCGGCACAGACAGAGCTGTGTCTGGAGTCCCTAAGGTGACAGGTGCTCAGTAAGGTCTTTGAATCCAAAGGCTGTGAGTTCTGTGGCTCCAGGTGCTGCCGACAGAGGGCGTCAGGTTCCATCTCCACTGCCATGACTCGGCTCCTGTTTGTGTGGTGTTGCTTTTATCTGCGTGGAGCACTGGTGCCACCATGGTTAAGTGCTCGACTGCTGACTGGAAGGTCAGCTGTTCAAACCCACCAGCAGGTCCACAAGAGAACAATTTGTCAATCTGCTCCCCTAAGGGTGACAGCCTTGGGGACTGTCGGGCAGTTCTCATCTGTCCTGGAGGGGCAGGAGGGGTCAGAGTGCACTAGGCTGCTGCAGGTTTGCTTTTGGCTTTCACGGGATGGAGAAAGTTAGCGTTCCCCCAGATAATGCCATTTAGGATTTGGTGTCCATCTGACTCCTTCACCCTCGTCCCCATCCTCTACCGAGTACCTGGAATCAAGGAAACACTAATTTACATTACTGAATGGGTGGATGACATTTAGTCAGTTCTAACTCATAATGACCCATTATGACAGAAGGATTTTACAGGCTCTAATCATTCTGGGAACAGATTAGTGTTTTCTCCTGTGGTGGGTTCAAATCCCAACCTTTTAGTTAGCAAACAAGTGCTTAACCATTGCATTACCAGGGCTCTACGTTACAGAATAATAGTTAGACACTTGTAATAAATATCACTATACCAATATATAAGGCTGGCAGTTCAAACCCACCAACTACTCCTCAGAATCCTTATACAGGGCCGCTATGAGTCGGAACCGACTTGATGGCACTTAACAACAACAAGAGTATGTAAGGCGTCCTGGTGGCGCTGTAGGGTAAACACTGGACTACTAACCACAAGGTCAGCAGTTCAAACTCACCAGCCACTCCTAGGGAGAAAGATGAGGCTTTCTGCTCTCATAAAAGTTTAAGCCTTTACAGGGTCACTGTGCGTTGGAATGGACATTTTGGCAGTGGGTAGTGACAGATACTTGATAGGTACTCATTGGTAGCCACCACGCATCATCCACTGGCTCTGCTCTAGGAACTTGGGTGCTGCTGTCTATGCCCCTGGTATTTCAGATATCAGCAGGGTCACCCATGGTGGACAGGGTTCAGTGGAGCTGCCAGACTGAGAAAGGCCTGCTGATCCGCTGCTGACAGTGAGCCAATGGAAGCCTTGCAGACCACAACAGAACCCTGAACAGTCACTGGAGGAGGTCGCCATGTTTGGTGAGGTGGAGATGAGGGCCTAGCAGAGAGGGTGAGCCTCGGTGAGCTAGGCTGGTCCGTGGCTGTGGCCGTGGACTAGGCATGCCAAGGGTCACCAGGATGCCTTGGCTCTGCTGGACCGACTCAGCGGCTGCTGTCTGCTTGCTGATATATATTTGCATAGTAATATATTCAGTAATAATTTAAATGGTTAGAATATTTCAATAGTTACAGGTGGCTGCTTGGATTCCTGGTATGGATAAGCACCACAAAATTGGCAGTTCAAACCCACCAGTTCCATGGAAACCCTATACAGGATAGCTGTGAGTCAGAACCCACTTGCTGGCACTTCACAACAACAATACTGCGGTAGTTCTCATGAATAGCTATGAAATGGGCTATGTGTTGAAATGGTCAGTATCTTTATGTCTGTATATTTTCTGTTAGTACCTACTTTCAACAATATACTTCAAAAGGTCAGCAAATGAGTAATATGAAAACTTATGAAAATTATTAATAAAATGGAGTTTAAAAGAAGAGACTATGTTAGTGTTCCTTCTATTTTTATTTTAGATTTTGTAGAAAGTTTCACTCTCAGAGCTCAGTTGTCCCCAGAAGCAAACACTTTCATGATTCCTAGCTGGACTGGTGATCCTAGGTCAAGGCTGGTGTGAACGAGTAGGAAGAAGGAACGCAAATAGTTAAGAGTCTCAGCTCTGTACATGTTTTGTGAAGGTAATTTCTTCTGGCCTTTTCGTTTTTGTATTTTAAAAGAGTTTCTGAAAACTTAGTAGAGAGGTAGGCATTGTTGTAGGGTAGCACTTCTAGGCATATAGAGAAAGGCCTGTAAGTACCCGATTCTCTTGTTTGCAGGTGAGTCTTAGCCCTGTGGTCTCCTTGTGGTGTAGCTTTTCTTTCATTTATTTTAAACCATAGATGCGGCAAATATTTTGGTGATGGGCGTAGAAAATTCTGCCCAAGCAGGTGATCCTGGAACGATATTCTTCTTCAGGTAAGACAATTAAAGACGCCCCTCAGGAGACCTGTTCGTAGTCAGGTGATGGCTGCCGTTTATATTAATAGGAAACGTATCCAAAAATTTTTTTGATTGGAATTTTTGGCAAGTGATTCTTACTTGATTAAGGTGTGTTTGCCAGTCAGGAATCCTCTGGTTAATTTGTGAAAGTAAAGAAATGTTAAATCGAGTAAACAGTCTCCCTCTTATGTGTCCTCATTTGCCCATTGGGTTTTCATTTCAGAGGTGACGCGGCGTCTTTCTTCAGTTCATCCTCAGCACTCCTTTTCAGACACCTGCCACCTCCACCGCCCTGCTGGCTTTTCTTCCTGTAACTCTGAAACAAATATTTGATTCCTCGTTCCCTCTCCAGATACTTCAAATTAGGACCCTGACACACTCTTTAAACAGCCAGTTTTAATGCCAGGAGTCTGTGTATAAGTACCTGTGTATAAGTACCTATTTCACAGAATAGCTGGTAGGGATTACACAGAAGATAGAAGCCACTTAAAGTTATCCCCACTTGTGTGCTGAATCTCCTTTTATCCTCATGGGATCAGCACTGGACTGCGAACCACAAGGTTGGCAGTTCAAACCCGCCAGCCGCTCTTCAGGAACCCTATACAATGTCGCTTAAGAATCCAAACCTTTAAAAAAGTGTGTGTGGTCCTAGTCCTTAGTCTTTTCATTTTGTTCCTAGTAAAGCATCCCCTTCCTCTTTACCCAAACTTCAGAGGTAATGAAGATTTCCATGTGTATTCCAAATAGAATAATAATGTCCCAGAGGTTCCTTTGGGTGTCTGTGGGCCAGTCCACCCAGTGCAAACCCAAGTGCAACCCTCCAACACAATTAATGGTAGATTTTCTTTGGTACTATAGGATCAGCACTGGACTGCTAGCCACAAGGTTGGTGGTTCAAACCCATGAGCCACTCCTTGGAAACCCTATGCAGGATTGCTATGAGTCAGAACTGGCTCAACAGCACTTAACAGCATTTAGAAGAAAACAATATGAAATTAATTTTAAATGCACTAATAGTATCATGAAGGAGCTCTGGTAGTATAGTGGTTATGAATTGGGCTGCGAACCGCAAGGTCAGCAGTTCGAAACTACCAGTTGTTTCGCGGGAGAAAGATGAGGCTTTTCTGCTCCCATAAAGATTTACAGCCTCGGAAACTCTGTACAGGGTCGCTATGAGTCGGAACCGACTCCACGGCACATAACAACAACAATAGTATCATGGAGTCCTGGTGTGCTGAAGGATAAGCACTCGACCACAGAGTTAGTTTGAACCACAGAGTTGGCAGTTCAAATTCACCAGCCACTTCTCAGAAACTGTCCAGGGTGTCTGTGAGTCGGAACCCACTCAACAGCGCTTAACAAATAAATAATATTATCATAAGTTGTCTGAAATTAATTTTAATTATGTATGTTTTGTAACCTAATATATCTAAAATATCATTTCAATATATAATATAAAAGCAACTGATATGCCATATTTTGTAGTTTTCTTTCCAGAGTAAATCTTTAAAAATATTTACAAGGGATCTGGGTTTGGACAAGGCACATTTCAATTGCTCAGTAGCCCTATGGGTTGGTGTTGCACCGAGCCCAGCTCTAGGCAGGGGACCCAGCCAGCTCAACATCCTTGTCCCAGGAAGAGATTTTCGGAACTGACCTTCTGACTGTGGCTTTAAGTACCTCTCAAATCCCTGCTCTCAGGCCCCACCCCGGGCTCTTCCTGCCTAACATCCCATGGCTTTGACCAGACTCCGTATCACAAAGTTCTGTCAAGGTTTGACTCCTGGTTGTCTCTGTAATGTATTGTCCACGTCTGCAGCCACTGGCTTAGCTACTATTCTATGAAGATGTTATGCTGCCTCCTCTGGGAACCCCTATGGTTCCAGCTAAACTGACTCACTGGGCTCCCTCTGCTGGCCGCCCTCAGGAGTCTGTGTATAAGTACCTGTCTGTCACACTGACTCTGGGCTCCCTCTGCTGGCTGCCCGCAGGATAGTCTGTGTATAGTACCTGTGTATCACACTGACTTTGGGCTCCCTCTGCTGGCTGTCTGCAGCATAGTCTGTAGCTGTTAGCGCCTGTCACAATGACTTGGCTGTGTTTGTATGTGGTAGTGCCTTTTACATTCCTGCAGTAGGGGTTGTATCAGTCTTTTACAGACTGGGAGTTTCTGAAGGATAGGAACTTGACTGTGCATATCTCAGATGCTAAGCACAGACCCATACATGTACTAAGCACGTTGCTGAAGATACATTTGAATGCTCTGGGGCCATCATATTTTTACCCATCTTCCTTTTCCTCTTCCTCCCATGCTCATAGCCATAAATCTCATTTTCTTTACCATATAAAACAACTCAATGTTTCAGAAATCTTCAAACTTCAAAAAATTAAAGAAAACGTATTCATTATAGTTTTTAGGTCTTAGAGCCTATTTTGAATTGGATTTGGAAGCCCTGCTAAGGCTCCATCACAGTTCTGCTCGAAACCCTGTTGCGGATGCGTCACCTCATTGCTGCTTTCAGCACTCCGAAGCTGTGGCTGTCTTAAGCTAAGCGCTTCCTTCTGCAGCTATTAAAGCAGGTGCCTGTATTGTTTTCCCATAGCAGGCTCTGCCCCAGTGAGAGCTGAGATGGCCTCTCACACAATTTCCTCATTCTGATTTTGTGCATTAGAATTGAACAGGTTTGAAGCAGTCTAGATCCTTGGAGTTTCATAGTATTGCAGTAATAGTTACTGATCCAACACACCACGTGAGCATTGGAATCTTTGAGAGGTCAGCATGTGTCAAGGGTCAGGAAAGTGGCTCTTACATTTTAGCACATGTTTGGGGGGCCCATAATATCAAGACAGTCAGTCAGTCCTATCTTGAAAAGTTTCATCCTGGGTACAGGATGAAGTTCCCAATGCATGGCGGCTTTCTTTTCTGTCTTACTAACGCGTGTATTCTGCCTTTAACTTAGTTGATTCTCTCATTCTTTTAAATCAGGGAAGGAGCTGCTGTGTTTTGGAATGTGAAAGACAAAACTGTAAGTATAAATAAGGTGAAAAAGTGTAACCGTTTCATTTTCTGACAGATTGTGTAAAGCAAAGTATGAGGGTGTTTCAAAAAGTTCGTAGAAAAATGGAATGGAAAGAGAATGGAATTTTTCCATGAACTTTTTGAAGTCCCCACGTAGTTAGCTCTCAGTAACTGAGCTTTTTGAAAGATAAATTCACAACTGATTCTTTGTTCTGCGTTGCATATTTAATTTATTCTAACAGTTTTGTTTTCTAAGGTATCTCATCTCGTTTCTTCCATGCTCCACTCTCTCTGTGCCCTCCCTAATTTATGGAGAGTCTGAATGGATCAGAGCCACATCAACCACAGTGCAGACAGAAAAAAAAGTACCTGAGGGGACTTCAGAAACTTTACGGGAAAATTTGATATTCTACAAAAGAACAATGTACACATAGTTGTATTAGGAGCTGGTTAGACTGAGACTTATGTTAGGCCAAGTTTTCTAGAACTTTGTGACTCATGGGAAATAATTTCTTCAATATCCAAATCAGAATTTGTTTGATGAAACCTTTTGAAGGTGTCAAAATGCATCAAAATTTTTGTCAATCATACACATCAACACCTATTTTATATTTAACACTAATTTTACAACTAAAGAGTCATCTAAGGAAAAGAATCACAGTGTATTCTGAGCTAAAAGTCAGCAAAACAAGGAAGTATATGCAATCATAGAAAGTTTGTTAACTACATCATTGCGTAGACATCTCGCAGTTCTTAAAAATCAGGTGCAGAAAAATTTATTCCTGGGAAATTGCCTAGGTATGTAATACAGTTGAAAGACTAGATTATAAAATTTAGCCACTGTAATACCAGTGCTGGTTTTAGGATATGCCTTAGAAAATCCCAGTTCCCATAAAAGGCAATACATACATGTCTCTATGTGTGTGGCAGGCAGGAAGCAGGCGAACCTAGAGAGAAGGAAATAAAAATGGCCAATAAATACAAGAAAATGTTATTTAATTTGACTAATTGAAAAAGTACAAGTGGACTATTTGAAGTAGTAAAGATTGTAAAAACTAACAGTGTTTTTGGAAGCATGTGCTCATAAATGATATTTGGGTCCTAAAATTGGAAAAACTTTGCAGAGTAGCTTGTTACTGTTAAGTGGCCGGTTCCAACTCCTGGTGACCGTGTCTGTAGCGTTCCTGAGGAGTGGCTGGTGAGTTAGCAGTCTAGTGCTTTTTTTCCTGCAGTGCCACACCAGGACCCTTACATTTAATAATGTGTAAGTATGCTTGTCTTTCAATCTAACTGTTCCTAAAGAAATATTCCCATGAGGTCACAGAGCTCTTGTTGTGAGGATGGTGCACTGTTAACACTGTATAGTGGACAGTTAGGAGGACCCTGCTGCTCATGGACCTGTTAAGTGCCATCGAGTCGGTTCTGACTCATAGCGACCATGTGTAGGGCTTTCAAGGAGCGGCTGGTGAGCTTGAACCGTTGGCCTTGAGGTTCAAACCAACTTTACAGTTCAGTGCATTAACCCACAGCACCACACCAGGACTCCAACCTAGAATATGTGTAGGTGGGACACGTAGGTTGGTTAAATTAATTATGTTCCCTTTACAAACCAAATCCATGGCCCTCAGTGGATCCCAACTCATGATGACTCTTAAGGCAGAATAGGACTCCATAGGGTTTCCAAGGCTGTACACCCTTATGGAAGCAAACAGCCTCTTCTCACTCCTGCTCTTCGAACCGCTGACCTTGTACTCCAAAGAAGGGGCATCGCATAGTGCGAGCCCACATCAGCTCAAAAGCAGAATAAATATACAAGCAGGAACACTCCAAAGGAACATACACCAAGGTCAGTCCTAGTGGAAGAGCTTTGTCCACTTCCGGGTGGTTCTAAAGGCACCGTGATGGCACAGTGGTTAAGCGCTCAGCTGCTAACCCAAAGGCCAGGGAGTTCGACTCAGCAGAGCAGCAGCTCTGCTTCCGTCAGAGTCACAGCCTTAGGAACCCCTCAGGTCCTTTACTCTGTCCTTACAGGGTCACTAGGTCGGAGTCAACTCCAGCAGTGGGTCTTCTGGTCCGATGTGACTTTTAAAGAGAGAAAATACAAGCCTTAAAGAATATAAACACTGCTGTTATTAGTGATTTCCTTTGTGTTGTGAGATACTGATCATTTTTATTGTCTTTTTCATCTATCTCAGTTTTCCACCTTTAAAAATTAATGAACGTGTCATCCTGATTAGTTTTATATTAAAATAAATTTGCTTTTTTTTCCCCCTTAAAAACCAAGCACAGAAAAATTGTCACTAAATGTAGTGAGAAATGTCATCAGGTACACTGTAACAGACTTGTTCTGAAGTTGTCATTTATAATTTCAAACACATTTTCCTTTTCTTCCAGAAGAAGCATGTGATGCAAGTTCTAGAAAAACACGAGATTCAGCCCTATGAGATTGCACTGGTGCACTGGGAAAATGAAGAACTGAACTACATCAAAACAGAGTAAGCAACTTTTTCTCATATGAGAAGGGCACTCGGAATAAACAGGGAAAAGCAGTTGAGGGGATAGATTATTCTAAGAAAAAAGTTACTGGTACAAATACAAAGCCTAAATAATACCATAACTAGTCGCGGTAACATGGACACCTAGTGTGGCGCTGTAGGATCAGCACTGAATTGCTAACCAGCGCTGTTCAAACCCACAAGATGCTCCTCAGAAACCCTATACAGGGTCGACGCAACAGCACTTAACAACCCCACCCAAGTGGTCAGCTTCAAAGCAGCCTAAATCAGTAAGATATTAATCCCTTCATCAGATTGAACCTACGAAATGATTCCAATAAAATTTCCTGTTAATGGAATCCACTTTTCCCTATCAATGTAAAGTATTAAAAGGAAGTTTAATGCAAAGGTGATCTAAGAGAGCCACTGGCGAGGCTGGTGCTCAAGCCTTCCACAGTGTTCTCAGGCGAGGTGTCTGGCTAGGCGGTGGGTTAGCTGGGTTTCCCTTATCCTACCTCAGCAAGCGGGAGATGAAGAGAGAGAAAGAAGGCAGCATATATCTGATACAAAGATTTCCTTCGTCACCGAGCTCCCTGCCCATGGGTTGTTATGTACCTTCCTTTCGGTTCTGACTCACAACGACCTTGTATAGGGTTTCTGAGGAGCAGCTGGTGGATTTGAACCACCAACCTGTGGTTCAAACAGACTTTGTCCTACAGTGCCACACCAGGACTCCAATGGACTGTTACAGGCGGAAAAACAGGTTTTCCTAAGAAAGGACATGAGAAAGCAGAGCTTTTGAAAGAGACACTCGCCATATGATGACCAGATGGGACAACAGCTACGTAATCCTAGCTACTTTGGTTTCCTAGGGCTGCTCTAACAAAGTACCACAGCCACAGAAAATTCACTCTCAGCGTTCTGGAAGCTCAAGAGTCAAATCCAAGGTGTCGGTAGGGACATGCCCCCTCTGAAGACCCAGGGGAAGAGCCCGCTGGTCTCCCTCGGTGTCTTCTGGTCCCAGGCAGTCCTTGGCTGTTGGCAGCGTCACTGAGGTCTCTGCATCTGTGTGCACGTGGCTTTCTTCTTCCCTCTGCGTCCGCTCTCCTCTGACGAAGGCTGCTTTGAAAGCTAAAATGGGAAAGCTTTCAAAGCAGCCTAAATCGATTAGGGGCTCCACTCCAGCGTAACCGCCAGTTAACTGTTTACATCTACAGAGACACGATTTCCCAGCCTGGCCACAGCCACAGGCCCAGTGGTTCGGACTTCTATGTAGCTTTTGGGAGGCCCAGCTCTCTCTTTAACTGTAGCCAATGATACACGCTGCCCACGTGCTAGGCATGGCTCTCTACTCGCCCTGCATGTGTCGTGTCCTCCTCGCCATGCGCACCTTTCATACATCCGCAGCTGGCGTTCCTGTGATGTTTAGCGATGTTTTGCCTGCAGACATGTGAGAAGTAGTAAGGCCTGGGCCCTTCTTGGTTGCAGGAGAAGGCACGGGTGTGAGCCCACACAGCAAAGGAGAAAGAAACACATAGACTTGGATTTATGTGGTGAATGATGAAGCACTTGGTCTTGTGGATGTAGCTTCCATGGTTCCCCTCTGTGCTCTCCTTCTAGATCAAGCTCTGGCTTCACTCACGCACGGAGAAACACACACACACACACACACACACACCACCATCACCTGCAGTCACCGCCTCCACCCCTTATAGCCTGTAGGGGCTAACACCCTCAGCTGAGGGGCCCCAGACGCAGCTGTTTGGTTTCTTGTCAGGGTGACAGTCATGGCTGCCACCTTGTACCCGTCACGATTGCGTTGGGGTCCCACCTGTGATTGCAGGGATTGGTCACCTCCCTAGAATCTGTGGGCTGGGCCCGGCTCAGTCACTGCCTCTGGTCAGTCCTGTCCTCTTCTGTCTGCTCTTTCCCACCTCACCTATCAGAGTGGGTCCTGCCTCTTGTCCCTCCCGACAGGCCTCCTCTTCATCCCCCTGTCCGGAAGGTTCCCCATTTACATGTGATATTTACATTGTAGAGAACCCCCGATGTCCACACCCTCCCCGACTTCTCGTCTTTCTGTTTGTTGCCTTTCCGGTACACTGTGTGTAGTTTTATACTCCATGCTTTTTCACTTAGCAACTTTCTATCAACAATTTCACCTTCTATTAAATAGCCTTCTAAAACATGCTTTTAAAAACCGCATTATGTGGAAATGCCGTAATTAACCCTTTTGTATATTGAAAATTAGTTTTTTTCCTGTGTTTTTACAGTCAGATGGCCCTTGGAGGCTTTCTCTTCACAAATGGGTCTTTGAGTATTTTCTTAGACTAAATTCCTAGAAATGGAATTACTTTGACCAAGAGACCTGAGCATGTTTATAAGCCTCTTGACACAAATTGTCAAAACGATCTCAAGAAAAATTTTAAGGTGACTTTTTTCAAAGAAGAAATTGAAGTGCTTTTTAAAAACTTAGAGAATATTTTGTTTTCCCTTCTGCAGGGGGCAGTCAAAACTCCACAGAGGGGAAATCATGTTAAATTCGCAGCTGGATTTAGACGACACAGTTTTAGAGAAATTTGCCTTCTCAAACGCCCTGTGCCTTTCAGGTAAGTGACCCTGTTTTCATCTTGTCTGAGGAGGTGTAAGTACTCAATAAAGAAAGATGTGGGTGTGTTTTCACCAGCTAGTCACTAAAACTTTAACATTCACTTTTTTTTTTTTTTTTTCCTCCAGGAGGAAAAAGTATATAGTCTGCAGTATGACATAGAGCTCGGGTTGTGTAGTGGTTATGAGTTTGGCTGCTAACCTCAAGGTCAGCAGTTCAAAACTACCCCTTGTTCCAGATGAGGTTTCTGCTCCCATAAAGATTTGCGGTCTCAGAAACCCTATACCGGGTCGCTATGAGTCAGAACCGACTTCACAGCACATAACCAACCAACCATAGTATAAAATAGAATGTCTGTGTTGAAGTAACTCATTCCATATTGTATTGACAAAAATTACGTGCTTCAAGCATATTCTTTATAATAGTGTTACCTTGTCCTCCCCTCTCCTGTCTGTCTGATTGGTGTTCATACGTAATGTGCAGTCCACACAGGCAAAGAAAGCCCAAACCAGAACCAAAAACCAGTTACCTTCCACCTAATTCGGACTCATGGTACGTCTGAGTAGAACTGGACTCCATAGGGTTATCAGTCGTTGATTTTTCAGAAATAGATCACCAGGTCTTTCTTCTGAAGGACCTCTACGTGGACTCGAACCTTCAACCTTATGCTAGCAAAACCTGTAGGGCTGGGCACTGGCATCTGTTTTTTTTAAAAAAAAAAAGACTAGTTTAGTACAGGAATGAGACAGTCACCTCGCTCTGAAGTTCTCCTGAAAGAACCAGGCACCTGAGTAAAACCGTAGCCGGAGTACTTCAAGGTCTCTGGGTAAAAAGTAGTCGTGGGCCTGACCTCCATTGGGTGCTGCTCTTGTAGCCTGATCCCATCACCCCAGCCCGGAGGGGAGGGGCCTGTGTGTCCACTTTCCGCCATGCCTGCAGAGCCGCCCGTAGTTCTGAGATGACCGACCACACACATGCTTTCCTGAGATGGATTCTTAGAAAACCAAGAAGCCTGCCAAGCATAGCCGTGTTCACAAGCAGTGCCTAGAAGTCTGTTCACTTCCCTTTGTTGTCCGCATTGCTGCTGACCTTTATGATAATAATGAATTGTTTAGTCTTACATCTCAGCTTAAAATTCTTCGTGCATTTGTCTCTGAAATTACTGCTGAAATGGCAGTCAGGGTGCTATAAGAGTCTGTATTTTACATAAAAGGGAATCCGATGATAGTAATCAAACTTCTGTTCATTGTCTTTCTCTCTCAGTGAAACTGGCTATTTGGGAAGCTACACTGGATAAATTTATTGAATCAATTCAGTCAATTCCAGAGGTAATTATATACATTTTATGCTGTTTTCAAGGTTGATTTAACCTTTGGGGAAAACCCAGTTCTCAGTACATATCCCCGTATGGTAAGGTATACCTCTAGGAGTCCAGTGAAGTCGCACTGCATACGAGGAAAGCTACCCTGAAGTTCCCACCACCCAGTCATTAGAATCCAAATCACTGCTTTTCTCTGGTAGTGTAGTATTTCTCATGTCACTAAATTAAAGTGAAATATTTGTTATCTGAGGAGACTGTGACCCAGTTTCTTGATTTTTAGGGTGTTTTGTCAAATTAGGAGAAAAATAATGGCTTGAAAAATGCATGTGAGGACTTCTGAGGCAAGATGGCAGAGTGAACAGATGCACTGAACAGACCCTCAGTGGCGGAGACACACATGAGAGACCAAGTGAACCAGATACAGATGGGCACCCTGGGACCCTGAGCTTCAGAGGGGAGGGCAGAGCTGAGCAGAGCGGTGAGAGCAAAAAAATGGGCTGGCTGTCGGCTGGTGTTGGCAACGAAGTGGTGAAGGAGGTATAGTTCTCCCTTGTTTCCTCATACCCTCCTGGTGGCTGAGGCATGGCCAGCCCCTCCCCTTACCTGTCTAGCAACCGCTGGCACTCCCTCCTGCCCAGCTTAGGGTCTGGCATTAGAGTACCACCCCCACATCTGTAGGAATGTAAATCTCACCTCAATGGAGATCTTTTACTGCTATTACCAGTTTTGGGGAGACAGCAGTTGTGCCGTAAGGCCCAATCACATCTGTCCCTCCTCTGGCTCTACCTGCTGGGTCAGCAGCTCTTCCCACTCCGTACCACCTGATCGGCGATACTTAGCAGTCCACATCAGACGAGCCCATCCTCAGCTATGTCACATAAACAGCGAACAGACAGCTGAGCACACTTACAGTCTCTGCCACACTCACTGGGAAATAGGGTGAGGGTCTCAGAACACACCGGCATTAATCCTCAATTAAGTATAAATACAATGACACCATAATGCCTCAGAGACAATAGGCAATTTCAGCTTAAATGAAAAAACAAGGCAGAGTGACTCAAACAAGTGATCAAAATACAGACTCAGAAAATATAAACACCAGAAATGGCATTAGAACAACCTCATAAGGAATTCAGAAGAATGACAATCAGGTACCTTCAGCACATTGAGAGAGTGATCAAGAAGGTTGTAAAGGAAAGCAAGGAAACACAGGGAAAACAAACTTTAGAAAAATTCAGGAAAACATTACAAAAACAAACTGAAAAATGAGGAAATTACACAGAAAAACCATACAAAAACAGCAAATAGAAATTCAGAAGATTAATATTAAGATTTCAGAAACAGATAATACATTGCAGGAACAAAAGAGAAAGAGATGGGCATGCTATCTGTCTGCTGGTGTGAATCAATGGATGCCCAAATTTCAAGACAAATCTCTCAGTACTCATCTGCCAAATGAACAATCTGAAAGAACAAAAATTTCCAAATAAAGCCTAAGAATTATGTGGGCTACCATCAAGAGGAATAACTTATATGCAATTGGAATTCCAGAACTCTTCAGGAAGAGACAAAATAGAAAACCCACAGAGAAATTCATCAAAGTTTCCCTAACATGAAAGGTGAGAAGATGCTACTCCCAAGAAACTGAGTATACGCCGGAAAAGGTAGATCACCAAGATGTATAATCAGATTCTCCAAAACCAAAGACAAGGAAAGAATCCTGAGAGCAGCTCAAAAAAACAAAACGTTACCTGCAAAGGAGAACAAATTAAAACTAAGCTCTGATATCTCAGCAGAAACCATACAGGCAACAAAGCAATGAGATGACATGCATAAAATGTTAAAATAAAAAAATTAAAAGATTCCCAACCAAGAACATATACCCAGCAAAACTAACCTTTATATATAAAATGAAAAAATCAAGATGTTTCTAGACAAGAGAACTTAAAAGATTTTGTAAAAACCAGCTCAACTGTACCTAAGTTCATGAAGAGGTCTTTGGACATAGAACCCAAAGGAGCAGATGACAACTTGAGATTATCATACATGACAATGTCACCCAGATCTCAACCCAGATATGGATGGTGCTCAGTGTAGAGGACTACAGTGCGCATGATCCAACCCTTGGTATTTTCAGTTGTCTCATGTGCAGACTGTAGAAGAATTGATGCATCTGAATTATGGTGTTGGAGAACAATATTAAAGTCTGTTGTTGGAAGAAGTACAACCAGAATGCTCCTTAGAAACCAGGATATAGTGTTAAGGTTAGGGTTACTGTTGGTTAGGGGAGGGGTTGGACTTCAACTTTCATACTTCAGAAACATTATCAGGAGGGACCAGGCCTTTGGAAAAGGACATCATGCTTGGTAAAGTGGAGGGTCAGTGTACAGTTTGGCACAGTGGCAGTTGTTGTTATTGTTATGTGCTGTGGAGTCGGTTCTGACTCATAGCAACCCTGTACAGGGTTTCCAAGGCTGTAAATCTTTATGGGAGCTGAATGCCTCATCTTTCTCGCGTGGAGCATCTGGTAGTTTCGAACTGCTGACCTTGCGGTTTGCTGCCCAATTTGTAACCACTAGTAGCAGTGGGCTAAAGTGTAACAACAGTTGTGAGAATGGTGTGGGACCAGGCTGTGTTTTGTTCTATTGTGTATAAGGTCACTGTGAGTCGCAGCAGACTCACGTAACAACATCACAACAAAGTAAAACAAACCTGCAAGACTGAAAATAGGGAACCAGAGATGTCAGTTTGTAATCAAAAAGTCCCACAAATTAAAGAGGGAGAATAAAGTAGTTACAGAACTTTGAATTAAAGAGGAAATAAAGTAGGTTTCAGTCAGCCAACCAACTGAAAAACTTAACTGTAACCCTAAAACTAGACCAAGCCTCAACACCTTGCTCTACTCTTCCCTTGACACTCACCATAACCCTAATACTACATGAAACCCTAGGTCCAGGTTAGACCTAGTCATAGTCTTAAGCCTAAACCTATCTCCCTGCTTCTACCCTCACCCCAAATAAAAAAGAAAAATGCATATGTATGAAGTTATATGAAACTGTCCAAATGTGTTAAAAATAATCTATTATAATTACTTTTGTTTTTAGTGTGAAAATATTCTAATTATGTTTGAGGAAAGAGTTCCTGTTTTTCTGATTAGATATTAGAAGTGAGTATCTTGGGAAATGCTAGTGAGAGGGAAATGCTAGTGAGAAGGAAAATGAAAAAGGACTGTGAAATATCTAAGAAGATTTTGAGTCTCTGGGTGAGTTAAGACATGCAGACTGGTTAGAGCCATTCAGTAGACAGTATGACAGGGAATTTAAATCCTGCCACTACAGAATTGCCAGGAAGTAAGGAGTTCCAGCATATGCAAATTCAAACTGAAGCTGAAGAAAATGAAAACAAGTCCACGAGAGCCAAAATATGACCTTGAATATATCCCATCTGAATTTAGAGATCATCTGAAGAACAGACTTGATATGTTAGACACTAAAGACCAAAGACCAGAAGAGTTGTGGGATGACATCAAGAACATAATACAGGAAGAAAGCAGAAAGTCACTAAGAAGACAAGAAAGAAGGAAAAGGTCAAAATAGATGTCAGAGGAGACACTGAAACTTACGCTCCAGCATAGAGATGCTAAAGCAAATGGAAGAAATGAGGAGGTACAAGAGTTGAACAGAAATTTTCAAAGATCAGCTTGAGAAGATAAAGCCATTTATTACAACAAGATTTGCAAAGATCTGGAGTCAGAAAACCAAAAAGGAAGAACATGCTCAGCATTTCTCAAGCTGGGGGAAGTGAAATAAAAATGCAAGCCTCAGCTTTCGTTATTGAAAGATTCCTCATATGCATGCGAAAGCTGGACCATAGAAGAATTGATGCTTTTGAGTTATGGTGTTGGAAGAGAATATTGAAAGTGCCATGGGCTGCCAAAAGAACCCATAGATCCATTTTGGAAGAAGTGCAGCCAGAGTGCCCCTTAGAGGCCAAGATGGCTAAACTTCATCTCATACTTTGGACATATTGTTAGGAGGACATATTGTTGGAGAAGGATATCATGTTTGGTAAGATGGAGGGTCAGAAAAAAAGAGGAAGACCCCCAGCGAGATGGATTGGCAAGTGGCAGCATCGATGGCATCGAGTGTGGCAGCGGTAATGAGGTTGGCCCAGGATTGGGCAGTTTTTCGTTCTGCTGTGCATAAGGTCGCCATGAGTCCATACAGACTCAATGGCACCTAACAACAACAACAACAAAGGAGCTCTGGTAGCATAATGATTACAAATTGAGTTGTTAATCTCAATAGTCAGGAGTTTGAAACTACCAGCTGTTCAGTGGGAGAAAGATGAGGCTTTCTGTTCCTGCAAAGATTTACAGCCTCAGAAACCCTATGCAGGGTCGCTATGGGTTGGAATTGACTAGATGGTACACAACAACAGCACAACATGGTCCTGTTGGGCTCATGGTATGGCACTATAGGATAAGCACTGGATTTGAAACCATAAGGTCAGTGGTTTAAACCTACCAGCTGCTCCTGAAAACCCTATACAGGCTCACTCTGAGTCGAAACCAGTTTGATGGCACCTGAAGACAACAACAACATGGTCTTGTTACTTACTGGATAGATTATCTTTAACTTTTTTTTTTTTTTTTTTTAATAGGCTTTAAAAGCTGGGAAGAAAGTGAAACTGTCTCATGAAGAAGTTATGCAGAAACTAGGTGAACTCTTTGCCCTAAGGTAAAATGTTCTCATTCGTAAATGCAGCACTCTGAAGGAAACCTCCTCCCAGCTCTCTGCTGGAGAACAAACGCTGGGAGCTTGGTGTGAACGGCAGCTGCTTTCTCTTCCTGGGTTATGAGCAGACAGAAGGCTTGTCTATTAGAAGCTGTTGGCCTATCATGGGACCCTACTGGAAAAAATACTGCCTTACGAAAGAGCTCATTATTAATCTATGTTAAACCCATATCAAGGAGCACAGTAGTTATTCTTTGACATTAGAAAGATAAATCCTAGTATTTGGAAAATGGGACTTCTCAGTAAGAACATGTTTCTGTACCGTAATGCTAAATAGACCCTCAATTACTCCCAGAAAGTTATGCAAATAATCTTAGAATTCAAAACAAAAGTTCAGTGGGAGACAAAATGAGGCAGCCAACAAGTTGGATAAGCCATATTTCCTTGATTCTAAGACAGACACTGCAAGAAAGGAAAAATGCTGCCAGTTAAAGTGCCACACTGCTTTTCTCTCAGAGAATTTTAACTTGGCACTAATTGAAAAAAAACTCTTTAGTCTTACTTAGATTCTCTCACATTCCCTTCTTGGCAAACATACAAGGAACACAGAAGGGAAATAAATTGTAATGGCAAAGACAACTATCTAATTCGCTAGGGCCGCCATACCCAGGTACCATAGAATGGGTGGCTTTAAACAGCAGAAATTTGTTTCGGGTCTCTGAGGGAAGCTCATTCCTCATCTCCTATAGTTTCTGTAGCACCGAGGTCTTCTGGGTGTTCTTGGCTAGTAGGTGGCTCCTCACAGACTGGTTTCCTGTCTGTTTTTATAAGCAGCCCCTCAGGAGGAATTAGGGTTAGGACCCACCTCACTGGACTATGATCTCATTTTCATTGATCGGATAATATCTGCAAAGGAAACACCTATCTCCCCAGACAAAGCCACCTTCACAGAGACTGGGGGTCAGGACTTATAGAAGACACAGTTCAACCCCTACCAGCTACTAAATTCCAACTATCACCTCTAAGACCCCCTCCATTTTCAGATGGCTCCCATTTTCAGAGATACAATGAGAAGAGGGAAACATATAAATAAGATCGCTCTATTTTTACCTGTTTTTGTTATCTTTTTTGTTTTAAGCCATATCACTATTTTACCTGTCTTCCAAAACATGTACATGTACTGTGTCAAATTGATATTAAAAAAAAAAACCTTAGAAAATAAGTTTTTATAAAACACCACAGAAACAGGAATATGAAGTACAATGGAAATGATACTTTAACTTAAGTTAAAATTAACTTTTCTTTTTCCTTTTTTGAAGACATCGTATAAACTTGAGTTCAGACTTCTTGATCACTCCTGATTTCTACTGGGACAGAGAAAACCTGGAAGAACTTTACGATAAAACCTGTCAGTTCCTTAGCATTGCTCGCAGAGTTAAGGTAGGCATTTTGCACTTTTACTGAGAGAGAGAGAGAGACACTTGCTGCCTGATGCATATAACTCTGTTTAAATTTAAGTCAGTATGTGGGGCTACTTTTGTTTTCCTTCGAATCAGATCTCTTTAGACTCACCTCGAACCTTCTTAGCCTGGATGCAGTCTTCAGGTTTGTGTGTCGAAGGTGTCCCTCTTGTGTTTGCCCTACAGACTGGATGAGCTTGGCGAGAGTTTACATCTGGGCTTTGAACCAGCTCAGGCTGCTTCACTCATGGTCCATGAAGGAGGCCAGCAACCTGGGAAACGGACCCGGATTTTATTTTACCATTTTGTTGTGAACTGAGTGAAGGGTTACCGTGCCCATCGTCAGTTTGACATCCAACAAACCATGCCCTTGGCTTCCTCTCAGTGACTGTGATCCCCTCCATGTACCATCGCTCATCCTGCTTCCTCTCAGTGACTGCGATCCCCTCCTTGTACCATCGCTCATCCTGCTTCCTCTCAGTGACTGCGATCCCCTCCTTGTACCATCGCTCATCTGCTTCCTCTCAGTGACTGCGATCCCCTCCATGTACCATCACTCGTCCTGCTTCCTCTCAGTGACTGCGATCCCCTCCATGTACCATCGCTCATCCTCCTTCCTCCCTGTGCTTCTTGGTTCCATCCCTCCTGCTCTCCCCACCCTTCTGAATTCCGTCCTTAGGGAAATGCCGCCCTTTTATCTCAAATGCGTGCTTACCTCACGAGTGTTGTCCCCAAAGCATTGCTGGGCTGAGAATTGAGCCACAGCAGTGAGTTCATTTCCACATCTGCAGGGTGACCAAGGGCCATCGTCTTGAGTTCCACCCATCTGTATCTGACCAGTAAGCCTGGTCATTTTTATGAATTTGAGTTTTGTTCCACATTTTCCACCGCTCTATCCAGGATCTTTTGTTGTGATCCCGTTTAAGGCAGTTGGTAGTGGTTCTGGTCTCAGGGTTTAAAGGGTGGTGTTCCTGTGGTCCATGGAACTAATTGTTTACAAGCAGCTTCGGTTTTTATCACTCTTCATTCCTCTAGACGGGAAGAAGCCAATAGTTGTACCTGAGATGGCCTACTCATGAGCTTTAAGTTCCAACTCGTTGCTCACCAGAATTGGATGTAGAACATTGCCTTTTTGGACTGGGTTATGGCAGTTGACCATGGTGTCCCCCAAGACTCTGGGCATTAGCCCCAGGTGGACCCACATTTTTAGACTCTGGTTGAGCCAGAATGTTAACTGGAATGGAAAAAGTTGGGGTAAAGCCCTGCTGGAAATGTCATTTTAGGAACCAGAGGCAGTGTGCACGTTGCGTAGCAAACCAGTTCTTTACCATTTTCTTTAGTTGGGTTGAAGACAGCAATGCCTGGCTCCAAGATGGCAGCTGATCCACTGCCTTGAGTGTGCCCTGCTCTCCGTCCATCCATCTATCAGGGCAGTAAGCCACTCTGACCGCCAGGCTCCTGAAAGGGTTCACTCTGCCTCTTCCAAGTCTCCCATACCAGGCCTTCAACCCATAAAAATCCAAATTTTTAAAATTTGGATATGCTCAGTTTTACTTCGTCAGCTATGACTGAGCCAGTTCAAATCAGTTCAGAGTCGTGGTTTAGAGGCCTCCAGGAAATAGACACACAGGGCTTGCAGGGAGTCTGATCTGCCATCCACCTCTAATTGTTTCACTTAGAGAATGTTCTAGAAACAGAGTCAAGTATTGTGTGACATTTGAGATTGACTCTTCCCCCATAATGCCCTTGAGGTTCATCCAGGTTGTTGGGGTGTCGGTTCTTGCCTTTGGACATTTTACCAGATGAAGTATAGTCCTTTATGTCCTTTCCACTTCCCACATTGACGACAGAGTTGTAAGCGTTTCCTTTGCAGCCATGGAGAACTACATCGGACAGTTTTGGAATCTGTGCTTTAGCCATTAATTTAAACTCACAAGAGGAGACAGGAAGGCTTTGTATTTGCCTCTATTCTTACTGTTCTCTTTTTCCTTCTTGGTATTCGAAGTTGTTGGGGATTTTTTTTCATCATTTCCTTTCTGTTTCTAGAAAAATTTTAGCTCTCCTTTTAAGGCTTCTGGTTGTGAGCTCCACACGAAGCTCTAAATGGTGATCTAAAAATGTCAAATGTTTTGGCTTTTTTATTTTTTTTCCAATTAAGAACATAACATTGTTCTTGAGAAATGCAGTTGTAATGTATCCCATGAAGACTGCTGTGCGCTGCTGAGATGGTTTCAACTCACAGTGACCCTGTATGGGCTTTCTGAGCGTGACTGGTGGGTTTGAACTGCCAACTCTGAAGTTAGCAGTCCAGTACTTATCCTATAACACTACACCAGGACCCACTCCATGAAGACAGTCACCGTAAACTATAGGCTCTTGAAAGAAATGAGATTTACCTTTTATACCATAAATGCACGTAAATTCGTACCTCGAATCTAACTTTAGGAATATCCAACAGTCCCTGACAATCCTCTTCCATTTTTCTCTAGGAGCTGAAATTCAATATTCCTTTAAACTATCTTTACAAATCAAATTCTTTTTTTTCCACATCTTTAATGGATTCTGTGTTATAAACTGGGGCAGGATAGCTAAAAGTAGACATTGCCTTATGTTCGGGGAAAACAGGGAGCTGTATGAAATTGGAGCTGCACTCCTGGGATACACCCCCTCCTTTAAAGCACAGCGGGGAAGACAGGATAGAGAACACCCAGAGACTGACTAGGAGAGCTCCAGCCCACCGGCCCAAGGGTAAGCACCTGCCTGCATGTGCATTTGAACTGCATTTCACTTTCTGTAACATTTAGAAATGATTTCTAAAAATGCATAAGGCAACTGAAATCTTCCCCTAAATTCCTTTGGCATCTGACAGATTTCATGGAACACTCCTCTTAGGCGTATCCTACTGAATCTGCTTTCCCTGCAGAGAAAAACAAAGGGGATCCATTGCTGCTGGACTGAGTCCAATGCATGGCGAGCCCAGGCATATCCCAAGAGAACTGTTCTCCAGGGGGTTCACGGGCTGACTTTCCCAAGGAGACCGCTAGTGAACCGTGACTAATAGAAGAATGGATGTCTCTGAATTATGGGCTTCACCTCACATACCTTGGACACGTTATCGGGAGGGACCAATCCCTGGAGAAGGACGTCATGCTTGGACAGGATCAGTGAAAACGTGGATGGATTGGCACAGTGGCTACAACACTGGGCTCAGACACAGGGACAGTTGTGAGGTTGCGCAGGACCTGGAAGGGTTTTATACTGTTGGACTTGGGGTCACTGAGTTGGAACCAGCTCGATGGCATCTCACAACCACAACGGATCTCCAGGGCTTCAGGGCTTTCTTCCAAAGTGCCTCTTATTGTTAAAGTGCTGTTGAGTCAGTTCCAACTCATAGTGACCCAGTCTAGGGTTTCCGAGGAGCGGCTGGTGAGCTTGAACTGCTGACCTTGCGGTTAACAGTTCAGTGCTGATCCTACAGCATCATCCCTCTGGGTGGACCTGTCAGCTAGCAGCTGGTGGTATTCCTTCCCTCCACCAGAAAAGCTGTGTTCCCTTCGCCATTGTCATCCACTTGGCTCCAGACACTACAACTAATTGTCCATCGTTTTATGTCCCACTCTCCGTCTGAGATAGCTCTGTAGTATCAAGTCTTCCACTTGAGTTCTGGAACAAACCTAAAATTTCCCAAACTGCATTTCTCCAGGTGTTTTCTTAGCATCCCGATGGCAGGTAAGATCGGTGCCGTGTGGGCAGCTTTTCAGGGTGGTAGTCTTGATTACACTTCACCGCTGACAAGAGAACGTAGCACTGGGAGCCCTGAGAGCAACTGGTTTGTTTCTTCTTTAGATTTCCTTTAATCTTCCACATGAGGAAAGCATCTAGAAGACAGAGGTTGGGCTTGAGATGTGCTGAAATGCAGTCAGAAGGTGAGGCCGGTGGTTAGCCGGTCAGAGTCAGCAGGACTTTGAGAGGGATTGCCGAGCATTCCAGAAATGTAGATGGTGACACCAGTGTGCCTGGCTCTAAAAGGCCGTGCTCCAAGGGGCGTGTCTCTCCTTGCGGCCTGCTCCATGTGCAGTCTTGTTCATCTCCAAGGCTAGTTCCTCTGCCACCTTTTCCTGCTGATCTCCAGATATGCCTCTCAGACCCCACGGTGTAAGGGTCAGCATGCATTCAGTCCCACACCTCCATCCTCGACACCAGCTGCCCACAGCGCCCCCTCTCTACCTCTAGCCACTCAGAACAAGGCCAGAACTAATGAATTCACAGGACACCACCCTTCAAACTGCCAAGTAGACAGACACCTAGGCCAGTCTAGGAAGTCCACACAATACCCCAACCTTCTGACCAGTCATGACCCCTTCAGGATGCCAGCGTAAACTTGGGGGTCTTCACAACCCCTGACCTTCTGACCTGCTGGCTCCACTGTCTCTGTGCCCAGGAATCCGCTCGATGGCTCACCGAAGGCAGAGTACACTGTGCTTGTCACTGAAGAGTAATGTAGCCAAAAAGGAAGGAAGGTCTGGGTATCTACCCAGTGCTTCTGTGTCCCAGCAGATATGCACCCTCCCGCGTAGGTGTTCCTGCCACCCAGTGGTTGGGCTTTTCTCAGCCGCCTCTGCATGATGACTTAAAGCCTGCCTCCTGAGGCCAGGTGAGAGTCTGCTGAGGCTCCTCCAGCACGGATTCTCAGGTGTGGCCTGGAAGGCCCCAAGGCTTCCTTCTCCAGAGTCCTCTTACGTAGAGTAAAACCAGCTCCTTCATGTCACAGCCTTCTGGATGTTTCTAGTGACTTATCAAGTCCTCCAAATTTCATATCGGATAGCATTCTTTTCAAAGTACGTATGTTAATCCCATTCAAATGAGCTCCGAATCTGTGATTATTTTCTCTCCTGTTCTATTCCTGGTAAACACTTCACATCCAGTGTATGTTTAGTAAATATTGGTAGAATTAATGACTGCAGTTCCAAACTGAAGCTC